AGGAACATAAATGATATTATATAGAACTAGCTGGGGCTAGATTTAGGTTTAAATTTCTTTGTAGGAGGACCGCTGTCTCCTCCTTCTTCTTCTTCATCGTTGGACTTCTCTGGAGTTGGAGGATGGGCAACAGATGGGGTGTCCTTGGTGTCTTCTTCCTCTTTGTCGGAGTCCTCCGGGGTTGGAGGACAAGCGAACGATGGGGTTGGGGTGTCTCCATCGTTGGGTTGAATGGTTTCGGGTTGAGGAGCCCCTGGTTGTTCTGGCTCCGGCTCAGTAGCGGCGACTTGGTTGTGCAAAGCATCCTGAATGGCCAGTGAATCAACGGCGGTCTGCACCGAGGTCTGAACCTTTTCGTAGGAGGTTCCTGGTAGGTCCAGCTCGGTTGGGCTCTTCCTCTCGGAACAAGATGGGTGACTACCCTGGTCAGGGTTGCCGGGCTCTCCATTCTCTCTCTTGGCTGGTGGCTCCTCTACAGGAAAAGGGTTTCCGTCTCCGGCATCCTCGTCCTCGTGCTGTGGCGTTTGGGGCTGGGACTCGGGCGATAGGGCGAACTCACCCAGGGGCTGCTCGGGACTGCCAATATCGCGCCAATCGCGGGCCCCATCTGGCTCCGTCGAGACGCTCTGGTCCTCGAGTGGCATCGGAGTCGGAGCACGGGGTGGAGTCGTCTCGCCCGGCTCGTCATCGCTCGAATTCGCCCCTTGGTTGTTGTCCAGTTCTAGGTCTCCATTCGGGTTTTCGATGGCCTGGACTTCATTTCCCTCCGGGTGTCCTCCGATGTTATCAGTCTCTGCCACGGAGACTTCTACTTCGAGCTCTTCGTTCTGGAAGTTAGGAACCTGTCCAATGGTTTCCTCAATAGCTTTGGATGACATAGCTGTGAAGAGATATTATTAACGGCTATCGACCGGTGGTTTCTCTACAGATTTTTTAGCCATTTCAGAGCGAGCTGCTCGGAACTTACCTAAAAAAGTTAGTTGCTTCCAAAGCAGCAAACTCTGATCTGAATGACAAGATGAAATTCGACGAACTAAATTTGTATAAGGCTCAGCACAACAAACTGACATTTGGATTTGGCTGAAAATTCAAAGCAATGCAAAATTATGATGATGTTTTTTGTTGACCAACTTTTGCATTTTTTATCACTGTTTTTGCAAAAGACGGTCAAAAATTAAAAGTTCCCGGATCAAAAGTAATTTCACTGATATAAAAAATTTCATTCATTCATTTCATATTCAAATTAAATATTTTTCAGTATGCTTTTCATCCATTGCGGTTTTTATTAATTTTGAATATGAAAATATTAGGTACATTTAACATGTATAGTTAATTTAAATATTTTAAACTTAAATTTAAATTTGAAATTCTTTTTTTTAATAAAAAACGAATCTATTATATTAGACCCAAATTTAAATATTTTAAAATTAAATCAAGAAATTAATATGCAGATATTTATTTTTACTATTTCATTTTTTTATCAGTGCACTTAAACTCATACATTAAAGACCCTTGTGAATTCAACGAGCTATAAAATTCTGTATTTCTGAAATAATACTATAAGTATTTGGATTGTTTTCGAAATATCTTAGGAAACATTTGGTTCACCTCTGATTTTTTTTTATAATATTTTTTAGAAAATTATAATATTAATAATAATAATAATATAATATAATAATATATTATAATAGACTTAGAAAATCCCCCCATTTGTGAATAATCTTTTAGTGGGCTACTTTTACTGATATCTGAAAAATTGCTGCATACTTTTGTGCTTCAATGGCAGACTGACAATAGCTCGCTGCACAACTCCAAAGTGGCCGGCAGGTGGCGTGCCACCGTGCGCGACTGGGACCACGCGTCGTATGAGTAATGCGCTGAAATTGCCAGCGGAGGTGGCTGAAAGGCCACTGGCATGCGACTGCAGTGCGACCTACGGCAACGGCGGTTAGCCGACCGACCAGACAGAGTGACTATTACCGTTCATTAAGGTAATCAGATGACCGCGGACTGCATTCGTCGGATGCCGCGGGCATGAATAACGCGATAAGATGCGCCCTCGATAAGGAATGCGGGCAGCGGACGTGCTGAATTGCCCGTGGAGGTGGAGTGCAAACGGAAACCGGACGATCACCATTTGAAGGGGGCGCCACTACACTCCATGGGCCATTTGGCTTAAAGAGGGGGCTCTATCGGGCAAGCGGACGACAGTCAGAAGTGCCGAGCTTATTGGGCCATAAAGCGGAAGATACGGGCGATAATTGCCCGATAGCCAGCTTCCGATCGGAAGTGTCAAGAGCTCTCAGGAAACCGCGAACGGCTATCAATTTGCTATTTGAAATATGCCAACACTAAGTATAAGCGAATACTAATCAAAAGTGTGCAAGAGTACGCGATTGGGTAACAACTTTCAGGTTCTTTGTATATCCTTTCAGCGCCATAGCTAAATTTCCATAGGGGAAGCCCAAAAACAAAGTTCAAATAACGTAATCCATTTTTCCAGGACTGGCATCTTTGCTTGTATCACTTAATCAACTAATGATTATCAAAGAAAACAGATGGACAAAGTACTATTAAACATTTATATTCTTAGAACCAATCGGTTCTAAACAGGGACCGTAAATAACTGTTATTGTAAATTTTTCTTACCAAAAAATTATGCACTTAGAAGAGTCCAAAAATGTGTTTAAATACACCATTATTATACCCGTTACTCGTAGAGTAAAAGGGTATATTAGATTCGTGCAAAAGTATGTAACAGGTAGAAGGAAGCGTTTCCGACCCTATAAACTATATATATTCTTGATCAAGATCACTAGCCGAGTCGATCTAGCCATGTCCGTCTGTCCGTCTGTCTGTCTGTATGAACGCTGAGATCTCGGAAACTACAAAAGCTAGAAGGTTGAGATTTTCCACGCGTATTTTTGGGCTTCCTACGCAGCGCAAGTTTATTTTAGCCGAGTGCCACGCCCCCTCTAACGCCCACAATCGCCCACTAACTATTTTAAAATGTGTCTGGCGCCCACACCTTTTAAGATTTCCGAGAAGTATAAATGCAATTTTATTGTGCATATTTATACCTATCGAAATGTAGAAGACATTTTTCGAATCGGACCATTCATTAAAAAGTTATACGCAATCAAAATTTCTATATCTATCTCCCTCGCACTCCCTTTAGCTGAGTTACGATTATGAGTCGGGACACCAACTCGACTAGTGAGTGACGGGTATTAGATAATCGGGACACGAACCCGACTATAGCGTTCTCTCTTGTTTTTGTTTTATATTTGATTTTTATAATAAAAGTCAAAAATAACTGTTATTTGTTGATTTTTATGTATAACAGTTATTCCTTTGACATTTATAGAAAAATTAAATAATTAAAAAAACATGCTAACTGTGTTTTATATAACTTACTAAAAATCTTTAAAAAAGACAACCGTGCATATTGTATAACTATATTTTTTGTAAAATTTGTTTTACCCACAAAACCGCCATAAATCAAGTTTGAGTTTTATTTTTGATCACGACGAATAACGGTTATTTGTCAACTTTTATTATAAAACTCAAAAAATAACAGTTATTCTTTGAGTTTTACTTTACGAACCCGAAAGTAACTGTTAAAATGTGATTTTTAACATAAAACTCATAACAGTTAGGGTCCCTAGTTCTAAATATTTCTGGTAGAAAGTATTTCTAATCAGAAATACTCTTTAGAAAAGGAGAATATATTGAATTTTTGCAACCGCCGTTGCCACCTAGTTTATACAGAGTAACCAGAGTAAGCAAATTATATACTTTGGCTTACAAAATGGGTTGCATTATTTGTACTATTACACAGAGAAAATTATACAACGTTTTAGGTGCCGTTTTCATATAAAAACGTTTTAAAAATAAAAATGAAAAGTTTTAAAAACGCAAAGTAAAATAAAATTTGTATGAAACGTTTTACTTTTTAAAATGTTTCACCCCTTATTTTGCACCTAAAACTTTTGATAATTTTCTCGGTGTAGTATCCGTCTTTAATCATCACTGTGAACGGCAATTCACGTAGTGACGAAGCGCACTACTAGAGTGTGAGAATGAAAAATATGCGGGTGAAAACCTTATCGAATCGTATAACCTCAACTAAGAAGTCTGCCACACTTTAAGGACCGTTTTTAGAAATCGTCAGTAAATTTTTATACCCGTTACTCGTAGAGTAAAAGGGTATATTCGATTCGTACAAAAGTATGTAACAGGTAGACGGAAGCGTTTCCGACCCTATAAACTATATATATTCTTGATCAGAATCACTAGCCGAGTCGATCTAGCCATGTCCGTCTGTCCGTCTCTTCGTCTGTCCGTCTGTCTGTCTGTATGAACGCTGAGATCTCGGAAACTACAAAAGCTAGAAGGTTGAGATTTCCCACACATATTCTTGGGCTTCCTACGCAGCGCAAGTTTATTTCAGACGAGTGCCACGCCCCCTCTAACGCCCACAATCGCCCACTAACGATTTTTAAATGTGTCTGGCGCCCACACCTTTAAAGATTTCCGAGAAGTATAAATGCAATTTTGTTGTGCATATTTATACATATCGAAATGTAGAAGACATTTTTCAAATCGGACCATTCATTAAAAAGTTATACGCAATCAAAAAAATGGTATATATCCATCTCCCTCGCACTCCCTTTAGCCGAGCGACGGGTATTAAATAGTCGGGACATGAACCCGACTATAGCGTTCTCTCTTGTTTAGTTTAAAATCTAATCTTAGTTTAGCCCCAAAGAAAATCAATTGCCTTATGAAAAAGTTGAAAATGTCAAAAGTTGTAACTAATAAGTAACTAATAATGAAAATATTTAAATGTTTTGAATTTTATCAAAACAGTTTTCTCTAAAATATATAAGAACTTTTCGAGAAATTTTATTCACTAATACTTTTTGTCAGATCCAACTTAAGAAATCCCTTTAGAAGGCCGCCCAATGAATTATCAGTCATGTTTGTCATTTCTAGGTTTATTTTGCACAAACTTAAAACTAAGCACAATAATGTCTGTACAATACTTCGCTTCGTTTTCATTCACAATTCACAATTTGTCACATTCACTAAGAACTATTCAAAAAAAGTACTTAAAATAAATCACAGTAGATTTAAGCATTTTTTTGTTTGTGGCTGGTTTTTTGTTGGTTTTTTCATTTCTTCTGGCAAACTTTCATGGCCGCCGTTCACAAATAAATTGATATATATATATATAAATACAATATTGATATACAAATAAATAAATAAATTACTACACATAGAGAGAAAAAAAATAATAGCCATATTCTAAATGGGAAATAAATAGTCGAGGGGTGGCACTGGGCCGAATGGAAGTGTGGGGAATGGGAAAATGTTGAAATGTTGAAATGCTGAAATGGAGTGGATTCGTTGGATTGGCAACTGGAATGGAAGGCGCTCTAATACTCAATATGCTCAATACTCGATGCTCAATAAATAAATAAATACTAAAGTACGTGTCTAAATGGCATTCGACAAAAATTCTTCGTTCTCTCCCGTTGGCTTGGTTGGCTTGGTCGGGTGGGTGGATGGGTGGTCCTCTATTTGGCTTGGAAGCTGGAAAGCTGCTCTAACTGCTGGGCCGAAAAGCTGCTAAGCTCGCTGTAGCTGTAATACTGGAAGGGCGTGATGTTCGAGCGCTTGGCTGGCTCAAATTCAGCTCAGGACTCGGCCGAGGAGCCCGCTCCGGAGGCATTCGATGACCCGAGATCTAGCATTTCCGAGCTGCCCGCCCGCAGGCCGCTCGCTCCCGCTCCCGCTCCCGATCCTGATCCTGATCCGGTTCCCCGGGCTGCCGCCAGGTGACGCCTTTCGCCGCTGTTTCGTCGCGGACGCCGCAAAACGCGATGCAGCGTCTTCCAAACATTGTCCAGATACTGGAAATACAGCTCCTTGCTCACTTTAAGGTCCCGCTGGTCCGCCTCCGCGGATCCATTGGCCGGGGTGTGGAAATTGAGGCGATCCTCCATCGCCTGCCGGCTCACGCGGCTCAGCTTGGCCCCGTTGCTGTTGGGGTACGAGGAGTTGATGGTCGACTCGATCTCGCAGAGCATGTAGCGGGCGCTGACCAGCAGGTCGTGCAGCTCCTTGGTGACCGCCTCGTTGATGCTCTTCTGTTGGTCCTTGCGGAACTTGTACTGCGCCCGTCCCAGATACGAGAAGCTGCCCACGAAGGTCTGCATGTGGCGGTACCAGGTCTTTAGCTTCACCTGCAAATGAAAGAGAGATGTTCTTAAGTTACTTAGTTTGGGTAAAGAAGCCAGGAAGGGCATGCAAATGAGGCGGGCTGACAGGGGAAACTGGTCTGCGCCGCCCTGGGCGGAGCAGGTCCATTCCGCTCAGTCTCTCCATTTCCATCTCCATCTCCATCTCAATCTCATCACTCAACTTACCGCACTAGTGGGCTTCGTCATGTTCGGCAGGAACTTGTACTCGTGCTGCCAGTGCTGATGGCTGCCGTACTCCAGCGTGGCGCGGTGGGTAATGTCTTGGTACTCGCTCATCGTGATGTTCCGCAGGTTCTCGAGGTGCTGCAAAGGAAGGGGTACAAGAAGGTAACCGATGAGTAATGCAGCTGGGGATATTGGCATCTTAAAGTGACAAAATACTCAAGTTCGAGTTTTATTAACTAGTTAAGTAGGGGTTAAACTAACCGGAAGGAAGTAAGGCAGCTTGTTAGGTATTGGTTAAATTAACCGAAAGGAAGTAAGGCAACTTGAAGTATTGACTTGTTAAGTAGTGGTTAAACCAGCCCAAAGGAAGTAAGTACTGGTTAAACTAACCGAAAGAATGTAATGCAACATAGAATACTTACTTGTTAAGTAGTGGTTAAATTAACCCAAAGGAAGTAAGGCAACTTGTTAAGTACTGGTTAAACTAACCGAAAGAAAGTAATGCAACGTAGAGTATTGACTTGTTAAGTAGTGTTTAAATTAACCCAAAGGAAGTAGGGCAACTTGTTAAGTACTGGTTAAACTAACCGAAAAGAAGGTAAGGCAACTTCTTAAGTACTGGTTAAACTAACCGAAAGAAAGTAATGCATCTTGGAATATTGAACTAGCCGAAAGGGATACAAATATTTCTTATTTTTTCTTGCATTAAGTTAGGAGACTCTTTTTAGCTGCTAGTTGCTTTTAAACTAAGACACTTAATCTCACCTTGCGCTTGATCACTCGTCCCTGGCTGGCACTGCTATCCGAGCCGAGGCTCTCGTCCGCCGTGTAGGTGCCGCCGCAGGGATTCTCCCACTCGGGCACCTCCGACTTGCTGGCGAAGAGCCGCAGATTGTGGCTGCGGGCGTGCCGCGTCCTCTGGCGACGCATCTCCCGCCTGGCCGCCCGGATGGCCGCCTGGGCGATCTCCTCGTAGCTGCTCTCGCTCAGGCTGAGATCGCTGTCGTAGCTGCCCTCGCCGAAGCTCTCGGCGAGTCCGCGATACGGATTCACATCGAAGGCGGGCAGTATATCGCCAGCCGACGACGAAGATGACGATCGTCCGGAGGAGTTGTCCTCCTCGTAGGCATAGTCCAGGGCCACCTGGTCCCTCAGATGGCGGGCCTGGGTGTTCTGTGGCACCACGGCGGCCAGGATCATGATGACCAGCAGCAACTGGCGGCTGTGGCTGTGGCTCCAGTGGCTGCTGCTGCTGCTGCTGCTACTTTGGCTCTGTTGGCTGACTGTAAAGAGTAGGAGAAGAGCAGGGGTTGTGTTAGTAGGGGGCTTCAGTTGCAGCTGGGGAAATCCCATCCCGGGCGTACCGTTTAAGGTAAAGGCTGGCATTGGTCCGGTAGCACGCACTCTAGCGCCTAACACTAACACTAACTAACTTGGCTAACTGGCTAGCTGGCCAACTATCACAATCGGTTAACTGCGAGCTGCTCACTGCTCACTGCTCACTGCTCACTCACTGATCACTGATCACTGATCACTCCACGATCTCTCCTGCTCGACGGCTGATGGCTAAGTGACTGCCGCTGCAGCGGCGCTCGAAAATTTGTAAGCCCCTTGCTCACGCACTCCTCACAAACATTTCGACTCAGTTTCAGTTTCCAATCGATCGGCAGAGAGACAGAGCGAGAGAGAGCGGAGTGAGTGAGTGCAATTACACTGATACAGCAGCCAATTTGAGCAATTTTCTCGAAATTGTTTTGAGCATTTGTCATGCTCGCTCTCGTCGGCCTCTCGGCCTTTTTGGCTGAATTTCACCAGAATAAGATTACTCATAGGTATTTGGGTTTTTTGTTCGTTTCGTTTCGTTTCGATTCGTTTGGTTTGGTCTTTTTGTTTTTGTTGTATTCGCCAGCAGACGCTTCCCAGACGTCGACGGAGTCTGCAACGGTGACGTTACACCTGGTCGCCCACCACTCGACTTTTGAATAATTCAAATAACCACTCAGGTCGCCGCTTTCCGCTCTCCGCTCCTCTCCGCTCTTCTCGACCAATAATCAACCAGCCGACCGACTGACTCGATGTTGCCGTAGGTCAGCGACTTGATAACGCTGCCCAATCGACGTCGACGGCGCTGCGACTGCGATAAGGCACGTGCTGCCCGGCTAGTGGTTGTTGTTATAAGCCGATCGACGATCGGGGATCAGCTGGACCCAAGGCCATAATCGCTAATTGGCCCGGTAATCGAGATATTGCAAACCGATGATTAATACTCCTTTACGATCTTAACAATCCGGCGAAAGTGCAGAGTGTCCTTATCTCTTCTTTTCGCTTTGGGATAGCAGATTTCGAAATTCCGAACAGGAACTCATGTGAGCCGATCGATTAGATCGTCAGCTGGAGAGGATTGCACGCGATCGATTGGCTTGGTCATGTGAGGGATCTGGCGAGATAGCCGAGCGAGCGGCAGTGAATCAAAATCAAAAGCGGACGAGAGTTATCGGGCGTCATATATAGAGCATATAAAGTTCGGGAGGGAACAATTGAAATTGGTTGATTGATTTTAGTACTCAATATCTTGGGGGCTAGTATAACTTTGAGGTGATACTAAAGGTATAATCGGAGGATTATAATGATCTATCCAAAACTCTAATATATATAGAGCATATAAAGTTCGGGAGGGAACAATTGAAATGGGTTGATTGATTTAACTGGCTTTTAGTACTCAATATCTTGGGGGCTAGTATAACTTTGAGGTTATACTTGTAGGATTATAATGATCTATGCAAAATATAAGATTTCTTTAATAGAGCTTCTTTTGAAGGTAAGTAGGCGGCCTTCGGCCCCATCACCCCGGCACATTCCACCTTGCTGTTTACTAGCGAAGCCGATTATTAACAGTTCGATCACTCGCCGTCCGTAAGGGGGATTCACCCCAAAAGACAGAAGACACTAACACATCGATACATCGATATAACGATACAACGGGCGCACAGCATTAATCATGGGAACCGATCGAAGTTATTCCGTAATGGGGTAGCCGTAGCACAAGTCACTGCCATGGCAAATCATCTTTTTATAAACAATTGCGACAAAGACAGGGAAAGTTATCTGGTGGGAAAGCGGTGATCTAATTGCAGACCAAAGACCCCAGACTTTGAACCCCTACTTACTTGGATCACGTTCTATTTTGGCACCGTCCATGTCCATGGGTTTTGGTAAGTAATAAGTAATAATACTGATGTGTAATGGCCGAGAAGATCAGCTATAAGGATCTCGGTCTCGGATCCGCCGGGTTATGTTATGTTATTTGCAATGTTTGTGTTTCAATTTGATTGTTTGATTGTTCGATTGTTGGGTTCACAAACCGGGACAATTAGCATTGGCGTGTGTCTAAGCGAAACTGATTCATGGTCTCGGGTCGTCGCATAATTTTATATTTATACGAAAATCGCCGCCCGCCTGTGAGGCAGTCCCAGTCTCTGCCGCTGCCTCGGTCGCCGCTGGCGTCGCAGTCGACGCTACCGCCTGCCGCCTGGGTGCTCCTGCCATTTGCTATCTCCCTGGCGGCAGAGCGGAATAGCGGCAGAGCACGGGCAGAGCAGAGCAGAGCAGTCGACGCTGGCGAACGACGTCAATGGGACGTCCACGGAACGAAGTGCCGTCGTGCGAAAGAATCGGAATCGGAATTGGCTTCGAAATCGGAGTCAGAAGTGCGCGCCACGCTTATAATTATTATTGGATTTGATTCGATTCGATGATGATTGCCCAGGCAGAGCTCCCATCTACCCTTCTACCCATTCACACCTTTATTATTTATATTTACTTTTCATCAATTACGTATGTAGTGCTCGGCTCCGTTGGGGTGGTGAACCCTCACCCTCCGCCAGTGGCTCCCACACAACTCTTTGCCAGGGGGATTTTTTTCTTTTCTGCTTCTGGCTGGATGGTGTGCGTACGTGTGCCGTGTACATGTGTCTCATTATGTACACCTTCACTTTGTTTGTCTGCCATTGAGGTTTTTGTTTGCGTCACAAAACTCCACTACCCCCCGCCCCCCTTTTGGTCAGTGGGCGTGGCATGGGGCCCTCAATGCGAAATTAATTGCATTGATTGCGGACCGGGTTCAAAAAGCATGTTTTTCAAATACGGGGGATTTTTTCGGTTGCGAGCTAAGAGGCCATGGGAAATCTTGGGAGGCGACAATGGAGAGATCTTCCACGTGTACCGCCTTCACCCCTCTTTAAAGCCTCTCCTTTCACAAACTCTTGGCTTCTGGCCAAATCAGATGGAGGTGGTGATAAGGTGGTCAAAACAATGGAGTTCTGAAGGGAGATGGGTTTCGAAAGAGCTTTGAAGATTGGGAAGAGTTTAGTTGGTAGATGGATCCCAAAAAAAAAACCAAATTTTTGATCCCTTTCGATCCTATTTTCAGATCTCCAGAAGTATAGTCACCTCTCAAACTTCCTAAACTGGAAATCACGTTAACATTTTCTAGCACGTACTGCGGAACTTTCCACTGACGAGCAAATCTGATCGGTAATTAGATCATCTGCCCAAAGCAAAACCAACTGACGCACATTTTCCAACCGTTGGCTGGCCATCGAATGGACTCTCCCCGGGCGAGGCGATAGCTTTATAGTCCAGTTTCTTGGCCTGCTCCAGTATCTCGATATCTCGACAAGATCGCCGATCGCACTGATTTACGATCTGCGCGGGTATCTCTTGGAGGCCTCATAAACCCTAGAAACCTCAGATACCTCGAACGTGATATCACTGACCGATTGATCTTTGCCCCCTCAACTCATCGAAAAATCATCCCTCGTGTCGAAATCGATTGCACGCCCGAAAAGTTGAAAAGAAATCAATGCATGACATGCTGACGTCTTTTTTAATTGTGTGCCAAATTTCTGGGGTCTCGAGTCCGTCGATGACGCGTTTTTTTTGCTGTTTTTGTTAGTTTTTTATTTTTGGGTACCGATAGCGATTCGTCGCGTGGAAAAGTTTACAGCCACAGTGGGATGGCATCGGTCAGGGGAGCTCAGATCGATGGGTTTCTAGGGGATATGGGATATTGGGATACTTTCGGAACGCCTTCGGCCCACTGTGGCCTAATTGGCTAATTACTAGACATTCGAAAGGCAGTTTTGATTCAACGCCGGTTAGCCGTAATTGAGCCAACTTTTCCACTGAACTCTTATCGCCACGCGTCGTCAGAGGCTGAACTTTGAGGCGTCGTCGTTTGCCAGGGAATTCACCTCGCAGCCAATTGTCTTCGGTGGGTGTTGACTAATGCCGTTCCATGAATGAATAATCAAGACTGTCGTCGCGACGCCCCCGCCAAGAAGCCCAGTTACCCCGAGATATCAACCCGTATACCATGGATATGCGAGGAATCCATTCCACTCCACATCAACTGGGGCACTCGGCATTCGGTGGACACATGAATGGGCTGACTGACTCACCGCTGCTTTGATTGAACAGTTGATCTATCGTAGTATCATAGATAGCCAGTTTAAGAATTTAATCAGTGAAGCGATTTATATATCGAGTACTTTATTCTTTATTTGATGAATGACATAGAGAACATTATTAATTAACTGTATTAAAAATATTAAAGACAAGAAATAAATAAAATAATTAGTAAATTGTAATAAAAGATTTATATATCAAGAACTTTACCGTTTATTTGATTTATGACATAGAGAACATTATTAATTAACTATATTAAATATAAATATACTCTTAAATAAATAAATACACTCTTTTTTTCATTTATGTCATAGAGAACATTATTAATTAACTATATTAAATATAAATATACTCTTAAATAAATAAATATACTCTTTATTTCATTTATGTCATAGAAAACATATTAACTATATTAAATATATCAAAGACAAGAGATAAATAACATAATTAATAAATTGAAATTAGTAAGTTGTAAGTAATTACCTTGACTTTTGCCCCTATATTCCTTGCTTATCCAATTAAACCAATCGACTTAGCACCTGGCGCTAAATTTAGCCATTGCCATTTGGTTAGCTGACGTAGGTGTCAGATTCTGTGACGTTGGCGAGCCCCCTACAAGACCCTCGGCCAATTGCGAATTTCGCTGTAATTGCCGTTTATTATCAGTAAGGGGAGTACCAGTTACCAGTTACCGGTTACCAGTTACCAGTTAGCAGTACCGGGTATCGATACCCCGATGCTCTCCTGACGATGCCCACTAATGCTACGCCCTCGCCGGATTATTATCGACATTATTAATATTAATGCGTGGTGGCAAACATAATTGAAATCGCCCCGCTTATCACTTGTCGCCGGCCGATCTGTAATTAGCATAGTTCTCACTCCCCATCCATGTGACCCATCCAGTTCCCAGTTCCCAGTTCCTATGACTAATTGATGGAGCGCGAGCCGCGAACTTTATCGCGTGCCAAGCCAACGACGCCGGCGTTCGAAAGGCAGCGCTGCCTCGGCCGCTGCTGCGGTCGCCAATGTGTCAACAAGTGTCGCGTGCGCCGCTGGGAACGCTGCTTCCAGCGCTGCTCCGCTCGAGCGTTCCGCTCTGCTCCGTTCCGTTCCGTTCCGTTCGGCTTCGGCTTTG